CCTGTGAGGGTGGTGAGACACTGGCACAGGTTGCCCAGAGATGTGGTGGCTGCCCTGACCCTGGCAGTGTTCAAGGCCAGGCTGGATGAAGTCTTGAGCAACCTGATCTAGTGAGGAGGTGTCCCTGCCATGGGCACGGGGCTGGGGCTGGATGATCTGTAAGGTCCATTCCAACCCCTTAAATTCTATGAATATGGAATGGAGACATGATTTACTGGGATTAACTGATTAATCCACAGTATATTCTAGTGAAGGGGAAGGATGGGAAGCAAAGAATCAGACTGTACTTCTAATGGCAGCCCACAGAGCAGGTGAAGCTTTCGGTGGTATTGCACTCTAAGAAGACCAAGTGGTTGTTGGCAGGCTTAGCTTTTTAGATAAGGTCTCAATCTATAGAAAATTCCCTTCAAACTGAAAAGAAGTTTGAAATCCAACATCTTAACTTGGTAATTTTCTAAGGGATTTTCCCATGTCTTACAAAACACCCAGACAGGATGAAATCCAATGCAATAATCATGCTGCATGAAACAGTGCTATGAGTCCATGTGCACAGACACAAAAGTGACTTTAATCTGTTAATGTAACCCCCTCTCAAACTGCAGGCAGATCACACGTTCCATATCAACAAGAAGGTAGAAAATGTTTTCTGTAACTTTAGCTGATAATGCATAGTTTAACACCGATGTTGAACTCTGTATGTACTATACAAAGATCATAGTAAGTGCACTTTCTTGCATTGATTGACTTTTTATGGCACAAAGGTTTTCTGTACTGCTGAAGAGTCACCAGAGCAGAATGTTTAGTTGCTACTGTAAAACTGGTTTATAGTAAAAATGGCATAATAATCAGTGTATTTTAGTTCAACTTTAGGATAAGCCTAATGACTAAGGATTTTAAATGGTCATGTATATATGATGCTCACAGAAATAAGAACTAGGTATGTGAGAACTCATTTTTCAGTTCTCTTTAGAAAAATAACCTCAACCATTCTGGGGGGATGGGGAGAGAATTGTGCTAACAACTGTTGCTGCTGCAGAATTGAAATAACTTCAGGTTCATTTTCGAAAACCTGTATCTGTCAGTGAGACCAAAATTTGGACGTGATTTCTAGAAACTCATCCATGGAATGAGTGTTTTGGCTTGTTTAGTTGCAGCACTGCAGAGTGCATACCCCAGGCACGGCATCAAGTGCTCCATGTAGTCGTTAAGGTTCAAACTCTGCTGGAAATTTACTTCCCAAATGAAGCTGTTACTTTAATATTCCACAGTGATAGCCTTGGTTCTGAGATATTCCTGAAGAGCTTCTTCACCTGTACAAGCAAAATAGTCACCTGTTAGAAGAGCAGCTAAAGGGGAGAATGTTGTTGGACTACTGAGAAAAAATTTGAAATGCTCTAGCCAATATTGGAGTTCTTAAGGAACAATGGAAATTCATTACTTTCCCTTCCCACTGAGATTTACAGAACTGGTTTGACAAGAAGAGGCCAAACCCAACAAATGCGGAAAGAAAATGAGTAGGAATTGACCAAGCAGCCACCAGGGTGGGACAGAAGCAGCAGCAGCCTCTGGATAGTCACTGGGGAATAGCTGAATTTATAAACTTTACTTGGCCTAGAAGGTGTTTTACACACCTTCTCTTGGCAGAGAAGGTGTGTAAAAATTGGTAATCTGTTTTTTTTTTCCCCTGATCTCGTCACTCGTTTTGGTTTCTGGAAATGTCTTTGGATATCAGCCTTGAGCAACTTGATCTAGTGAGGAGGTGTCCCTGCCCAGGGCAGAGGGTTGGGACTAGATGACCTGTAAGATCCGTTCCAGCCCCTAAATTCTATAATTCCAAAGGCAAAAATCTGTTGTGTCACTGAAATTTGTTTCTCCTTTTGTCTTTGCCATGAGGTTTAATCTGTCCAGACTTGTAAATTGTCTTTGGCAGAGTAGCCTTCACTTCTTTAAAAACTCCATTTGAAAAGAAAATATATTTAATGCATCTTTCTCGGTGACTGTTGGCAAATTTGGGTGACGTTTTCAGGCATAAAACATTTCCCATGCCCTTACAAGTTTGGAAGAGAAACCTAAATGAGCATTGATTCTGAGGGAAAGGAAAGGGTTTGGCTAATACCTTTGTTACTTGACTGCATTTTGTAGCCTGTGTGCAGCTCTGAACAAACCAATCTGACTGCCCTGGGAGAGGAATATTCCACATGCCATAGCAGTATTCAGCATGTGTACAGGAAGGGCTGAATGGGAGGTATTGAGGTGGCAATATTTAGGGAAGGGAGAGAAACTAGATTACTGTAGTTGGAGGAATGTAGGAGGAAATGCATCCATAGCTCCTGTTTTACTAGATCACTGTACACAGGCAAAATGGTTTTTTCATTCATTCATTGGGACTTTCAGATGAGAAATGAGAAAGGGAGAGAAATTGCAACTTACCTAAATCTTTCCCAAAGCCAGACAGCTTAAATCCACCAAATGGTGCTGCCACATCAGTTTTGTTGTATGTGTTAATAAAAACTGTTCCAGCTTCTAGCTTTTCACTGATGTAGAGAGCTTTACTTATGTCTTTTGTGAAGACTCCTGAGGCTAAGCCATATTCTGTGGCATTCGCCCGTCGCAGCACTCCATCCACATCCCTGCGGGGAAAGAAATTGTCTCATGGCAACTAGGTGAAATAAGTGTTGGCAACCTTCCACCTTGTGTGTCATTGCAGCACCTTTTCCCATGCTCTTCCTTTTCCAGTAAGCTTTTCTAAAGACAACTTGTTAAGGATGAATCTGTGTCAGTCTGACAGATCCCCTTTGCTTCAAACTTGGGAGGGTTTTAACCTTACATTTCAGTGCTTCGTATCTACACTGAGAAATGCCCCAGGAAAACTTTGCTCAGCTACTGTACAACTTGGGGATTAGAGAAGTACAAAAATACCTGTAAAGCAAAGCTTGGCAGCAAATTATGAATCAGTTTGCTAACATTTTTGCCTGATTTACAACTTAATGGGGAATAAATGCTGAAATTCAAATTCTCTCCAGACACAACTTTTCTGGCCATTCCCAGAGTGCTGTTTTCTATCTGCATCTCATCTTCATACAGCTTCAGAAGTCTATAATAGTTTAAAACTAAAAAATCTTTTACAGTCCCTTATCACCATGCATAACTTATGGATGTGAAGGGTTACCTATGTGGCTGGTTCTCAGCTGCATTGTCAAACTGCAAAAAAAGGAAACCTGGTGGAAATACTTATATGAAGTTTGTATATAGAGTTTTAATCTGTGTGTAAAATGATCAATATGAATGATATTAATAGTGGCAGTTTACAAAATTAGAGGGATTTTAGCTTGCAACAGGAATGTGCCAGTGCTACACAAAGCACAGCACCACTATGAAGTCTTTTGTGACAGAGAAAAAGTAAGCAATTCCACTGGGAAAAATACACATTTTTGTCATTTGATCAAGCTGCTGCAGTTCCGACATCTACTTCAGTGTAAGGTTTTGCTGAATACTAAGTCTTTTTCAGAACTGACACTGATGCTTGCATTCTATCCTGTCAGACACTGCCAATAGCACTAGGTCTGTATCAACATGGAGCAGGATATCCCCTGCTAAAAAAAGGTATTTCCTCAGGATTTAGCTGGAGGAGGATCTTGGTGTTCAGATTGGTCTAGCAAGACTTAACTAAACACTGTGTATGTTACCATTTCTACACTTAGGGTGAAAGTGGGAAAATAAAGTGTCTAATAATAACCAGAGAACATACCCATTTTTAAATTTAGAAATCACCATCACAGGTCCAAAAGATTCTTCCTGGGCAATATACATATGATCTTCAACGTCTGTGAATACCGTGGGTTCCATGAAGAAGCCTAAACAGAGGATAGAGCATCACTTCAGCATGGTGGAAGTGCTTCATGGTTTCCTACCATCCAGGCCATCTTTTTCCCATACTGTGAGGTCACAGAGAAGTTGAGATGTGAAACAGAAAGTAGATACTGAGGAAGTGATACCGAGAAGCTGACTGAAAGCAGGAATTGAACAGTTAAAGCTGAAAGCATAAAGAATAACTTTACTAATAGCACTATTTCAGCTTAATTAGCAAAATAGCAAGGATTACTTAGTACAGACAAGAAGCTGCACTAATGGTATTGTTTTGGCTTGGCTGGCAAAACAATGCACCTTATCTATAAGGCAGTAGAACTAACTAGACTCAAACCATGGCAGTAGGAGGAAAACTAAGACCATGTAAGGTGTGGAATGAAGAAACAAAATGTTCAAGATAGAGGCAAGGTCAGCAAGGCATGCAAAACTGTACAAAGGGGTAAATGGTTGCATAATAAGGGTGTCCAAAGGGTACTGAGGAAGAGGAGGCGCTTCATCTTCATGACCACTGAACGACCACCAGGACCATGGGACTGATGCCAGGAGGGAGGAGACAGAGGAGGAGTATATGATAATTATTTCCAATAAATAATTATAATAATAACCACCCATTCTTGGAAATAATGAATATGTATGAGCATTTAGTGTTTTGTCCCTGGTGGCACAAGTTTGGTGGAGCGATCCCCCTTGTGCCCAGTGCTGAATAAACAAATCCCTGCTACTCAGAGATACAAGTCTGGGAGTAGTTCTTTTCCAGGCTTTTCTTGGCATCAGAAGTATGAAGGAAAATTTCTCTGTAAGTCCCAGAGAAATGGGAATGAAAAAGGGTTAAGACTGGCCTGCACTGATCAGTGACAACACATGCTGTTCCCTGCCAGGCCAGAAGATCTGCATGCCACAGTGTGGTGGCTTCTCAGGAGGAGACCCTGTACTCTCACAGCAGGAAGACAAGATTACTCCATGTCGCAGAGGTCACTTTTTTTTCTTGTTACCCAACCAGATAGACTGTAGCCAAAAAGACCTTTGTATTCCAAACAAGGAAAAGCAACGGGCAGGAACTTTGCCTGAGGCAACAGAGAGTCTCATAACAACTGTTCTGAAGGGTGTAAAGACCTGTCCAAAAGCCAATCAGGAGCTGTTCTGTTGTTATACACAAGCAATCCTGGTCACTTGGTGAGTGTATTCCACTCCAAGTGGGTAAAATCAACTTCAGAGACTTCATATAATGCCTCCCCCTTCCCTAAGATTTCCTGTTCAGTTTTGCTACACAGATTTCCCACAGTTACAAATCTCCACTTTCATTTCATTTAAGGGTGTAATCATTATGTTTTGAAACTCTGACGTTTCTCCTTCATTACTAATAAAGGACAGATGTCCATGAGAAAATGTTGCTTTTGTGTCTGTCCACTGAACTCAGCACACATGTTGCCTGTGTAGCAAAAAAGGCTTTTATAGCAACACCTCTGCTAATAGTTTCCTCAGCCAGCTTTAGTATTGGTGTGATCCAAGTGGATATGATCATACTTATGGCTCTTGGCAGTTCAGGGCTGTTGCAAAACAAGTCTTAACAGGAATAAATAAGCAAAATAATCTCATGCAGAGAAGACTCTGATTCACTGTTGCAATTTACACCTCAGTTGCATGGTTTCTCTTTGATATGAGGCTGGAAAGCACTTTTCTCAAATAGCATCATGGACTTACCTGGTGCTGCTCCCATGACATTGCTACTTCACATAATGCAGCAGAGACAATTTTGATGGCTTTTGCTGAAAGTGTAAAAGTTCCAAATACATCTGAATGGTATTTTACCTGGTCTATGTACTTGTCTTCCTCCATACACTAGTGTAGCTCCTTCTTTTACTCCTGTTTCACAATACTGCAGCAGCTTTTCCAAATGTGCCTTGTGATTTTGCGGACCATGATCTGTCGATCTGTCAAGTGGGTCACCGATCTTCATCTTTTTTATTTCTTCCACCTATGGATTACCCAATTAAAATGACATTACATAACATAGCAAATAGTTGTCAAAGTGACCTGTGATTTGGGATACTGCTTTTTTTCTGCTGTGAAGACAGACTCTAAGGAAGAACTGGATTCTTAGAAGATGTAATGCTCCTCCCTTTCTAAAGTAAGGTTAGGTCTTTTGTTTACTAATCTCTGGTTATCTGGAAACTTTTGGTGCTGTGTTCATGTATACATTCTATTCTGCTATTAAGACAGGCATGTAAAATGTTACTTTTACCAGTGGTAAATGAATTATGACAGTGATTTCCTGTTCTTGAGCAAAATAAATGAATTCTCCAGTGGTATAATGTGAGGACTATAGAATTTTTAATAATGACCTTTGTATTTTTCTAGCTATGCTTCCAATATGCCTTTTTTTTTCCAACTTCACCACAGTTTTCTTCAGTCACACTGACCTAAGTTCAGTAATTACATTTAATCTGATTTTCCTAGTCAATTAAGAACTCTCACTGAAGGTACAGTATCTGTTGACATGTCACTTCTCTGTGCATTACTGATGAAAATATCTCCCTTCAATGCTTCCTTTTAACCCTGTAAGAGGTTCCTGAGAAGCAGCATTGCCTATCATGAGCCATAGCAAGAGATTAAGCAATGCAAATAAAAAGTACAAGTGCCTATAAAATGAGTAGATCTTTCTGCCACAGCGAAATATCTACTTAAACTTTAGTCCTTGTATATCTTACCACTTTTCTAACAAACTCATCATGGATTGACTCTTCCACAAACAGTCTGCCAGCTGCAATGCAGTTCTCTCCTTTGTTGAAATACACTGCTCCCATACCCTGACAGGGAAAAAAAGCATTAATATTTATACACAACCTTTTGTTCAGCCTCCTGTTCAGTCTGTTCCCTTGGTATGCACTCAGTGTGTGTGACCCTCAAAGTGCAATGCTTTGTGTAAGGGGATATCATCAATGCAACAAGCAGACTAATCTTATGACTGGCAAACACACTCCCGTGGAGACAAATGGCTCAGGATGAATCCATTAGTGCTGCTCTTTCCATTGCCATCAGCATTCCACAGAAACACCAGCTGCAGAATCCCAGGAAAGAGGGCTGGCAGCATGGTCAGGGAATGGAAAACTGTGCTAATCCACTGAGCAATGCTGTTTGTGCCAAAGCAGAATGGGGTGAATATTAATCTGCAGAGAACATACTATTTCAAGAGTGTGGATTCAGACCCTTTTTATTTACCAAGATCTGATACCTGGCTTTGTTTCTTCAGGGCATTAAGGAGATGAGGGAAGGAAGAGCAAGACAAATAAAATTCCTTAGAAGCAGTTTTCTGGCAGCTGCAAAGACTTGGAGTCCTGGTATTAGTAGTTACAGCCACAGTAAGTGCTGCTAAACCTTTAGGCCTAAAGTGTTGGTCAAGTCCAGGGCTCAGTTTAGCAAGGGGATCTACTCTGAACCTTGTGACTCTTCCTTGTTCCTTTTACCCTTACACTTTCCTCCTCTTACCTTTGCTGCCCTCCCACCCCCTCCCAGTCTCTGCATGGACAATTTTTTTGGGTTGATTTTGGTTGTAGGCTGGTTGATTTTGGATTTTGGTTCGCTTTTCCTCCGTGTGCTGCAGCCACCTAGTAAGCAGTAGAGTGAACCTTGTCCACAAACTTTGTCATGCTTCTGCATTTATATCAAACCTGCTTTTGCCAATACCTTTGCCAGTGATTCTTTGAGCAACCATAAAACACTCATTTGTGACATGATGGCATAAAGAAACATCCTGTAGAAAAAGAATCTGAGTGTCTTTTCCAATAGACTGCATGTTTTTTCAGGACACCCTAGTGCAGTTTTGGTAAATGGAGAAGAACATTACAATGCTGTGAGGATGTATCACAAAGGCTCTTGAATGCATGTCCCTTCAAAAGTAACATTACCATTTTTACAGCTCTCTCAAGTTCACAGTCACTGAATATGATCAGTGGTGATTTGCCACCAAGTTCAAGAGAGACCTTCTTCAGATTGGCAGCTGCACTGTAAAAAAAAAATAAATCACATAAACCAAGTTTTTAATATCTTATTTCATTACTTCCTTTGAGTTATAACTAGTGAAAATGTATAAACCTCTATTTTCCAGCACTGGCTGAGCAGAATTCTACATAGTGGTAGACACCATATGTAGTTATGCTTTTTCATTACTGGGCAATACAGCTAAAAGATACCTCAGAACTAGAGCAGGGTTTGTTTATGAAACTTTTGCTGAGAGTACCTCTTCATGATCTGTTTGCCAGTGGGTGTTGAACCAGTGAATCCGACTTTGCGAACATCTGGATGTTCAGACAGGTGCTGTCCCACTAAGCCACCTATCAGGGTGAGGAAAACAGTGTAACTGGACAGTGCACAGGCAATTTGTACTACTCCAGGAGCAGCAGCACTGTAACACAGAAGGAGCTAACAATGTCAGTCAAGTACAATAAGATATCCTTATTTATCTTTGCAGCTGTTTTTGTAGGACACTGTTCAACATCTTTGTCAGCAA